TTTCCCCTCCTCACCCTCCATGCACCCTCTCCCCCAGGACCTGGTGCTCTCTGCTCCAGCTTCCCCAGTCTCCTATCCTAACGTTCCATCAAACAGTCTGTAACCTTCAGTCTCCACACACCCCAAGCCAGCCCTAAACTTCACCACACCTTCTGACTTATCTCTTCATTTTTTTTCCCAGAGGCCCAGGAGCCGGTCCAAGTGACAGAGGCAACAGAGACTGTGGTTTGTGCCCTGGGCCTGGTAGTGGGCCTGGTGGGCATCATTACAGGCACGGTGCTCATCACAAGGGCTCTGCGTTCCAGTCGTGACCCTCGGGCCCAGGGACCCCTGTGAGTGACTATGGTGGTGGGGACTCATAGGATGCATTCAGAGAAAAAAGGAAGGATCCAAGTACCTGTTGTATATAAAGAAAAGGGGAATAATTTAATATGATTAAATGTACATTGATCTTCTAATGGGTTAAAGCACAGAGATGAACAACAGTGACAACACTTAAACATATTAAGTACCCCATGATTATTTATGGGGTACTTAATATGCTTAGGCATTATTCTGAGCATTTATTACTTAGCTCACTTTATTCTTGCAAATATTCTAGTCTGGCACTACTATTGTTATCATTTTACTCATGAGAGATACTTGTATCTTATGTACACAGAGGTATTAAGCAACTTGATCAAGGTCACTTGGCTAGGAAGTAGTGAATCTGCCATTCAAATCCAGGAAGTCTGGATCCAAAACTGTTTCCTTAAACACTGTCCTATATTCCCCATTTTATGAAGAAAAAGACCAACACTCCACAAACCCATATTAGAACCAGACCCATATTTCTATGCATAATTACAATGTGGTGTGACAGGTTCCCAATAAACTATTTGCTGTCTCTGTTTGGACTCACCAAATGGCAAAGCTCACACAAAATGCTCCTTCTGGGATTTCATGGTTTTTTATCTATCTATCTATCTGTCTATCTAACAACTTGCCATGTTTCCTATATTTGTGTTTTTGTGATTTTCTTCCCATTAGATAGTGATCTTTCCATGATAATGACTATGTCTAATTCATCACTATTATCACCATTGGTATCATTCATGCTGGATCTCAGGTGCAAAGGGTTAAGTCAATTACATTACTCAGTTCATGTATACCATCATCATGGATACCTCCGAGTTCCATCTCTTTGTTAATTTGTTCACTTTTATCTTCAGTCTTTACTCCCATATCTAACCTCTTTCCTCAACCATGTAGATAAATTTTTCAAATGGATTTCATGAGGTTTATTTTATTGTATATATCTGATAAAGTGGTATTTGGTGTACATGAATTTTTAAAATTTATTTGCTTTTTTTTTTCTTTCTTTCTTATTTTGGTACTAGAGACTTAACCCAGGAGTGCTTAACCACTGATCCACATCCCCATACCTTTTTGTTTTTTATTTTGAGACAGGGTCTCACTAAGTTTCTTAGAGCCTTGCTGAGTTGTGGAGGCTGTCCTTGAACTTGCAATCTTTCTGCATCAGCCTCCCAAGCCACTAGGATTACAGGCGTGAGCCACCACACCTGGCTTGAAATGTATATTCTTATTTTAAGGAAATATCTTAAAATCAAAATTAGTGTAAAAATGCATGATTCACAAAATATCAAAAGAAAAATATTTGAAGAAAATGGGAAAAAATAGAGGCAGAAGAATGAAGAGAAGGTTATCAACGAAGTAAAGAATTTCAGGAAAGAGGAAATATAGTTTCAGATGTTCTACAAGGTCATATGGGCAAATGTATTTTGGTTTTGAAATCCTTACAAAGAGCAGTTTTACACATTGTGAGCAATGAATCTTCCTTCATTACCATTATTTCAGAGTTGAGCTTCTCTGGCCTCAATAATGTGACCCTTCTCTTTCTTGGGATATTTTGGTGACTTGAGGCATGTGGGATGCCTCCACACTCAGCTGGGTCTTAGATATGAAATTCAGTCACCTAAGAGTACACCTTGACTCCTAACTGCTGTTCATCTAGAGGACCAGGGCATGTTCAGGGATGACTGCCTTCTCCCTGGGACCTGAACAGGGCAGAAAAATGGGGTGGGGGGATTATGTGTGAGGGGAATGAGGAAATTGGGTCTGAGTTTAGAGTCCTGAATCCAAGGATGCCAGTAACTGTGTGTGTCTTGCTGCAGGTGACAAAATTCCTGAAAAGAAGAGGACTTCGGAGAGATCTGAATTCTAGCTGTCCTATGGATGCTAGTCTCAGCTTTCCTTTTCAATTCCTGTGCTTTCTATCCCACTGACTAACTTTCTTGCTAGCCCTTCAAGTCCTTATTTGCAACCTTAACATCCTCAGCCCTTGATACAGTTCCCAAAAAATGGAATGTAATGAATAAGTATTGATATTTTTGTAGCACTGGCATGGAGATTATCCCTTCAGTGGGCTTCATGTCTTCTGGACTCCTTTGAAAAACCTTCCAATGCCTGCTTCCTAAAAACACCCTAAGACCAATAAATTTTTCACTGTTTCATAACTGAGATACTTTGAGTCTTCTTGCTGGAATTCTTCGACCAGGTCACCTATGACGAATATTTTATGAAGGTGTGGTTTCAAGTTGGGTTATGGATGTAGTAGTTACTGAAGATCTAACCTCACCTGAGTAGAAGGGTCTGAGAATACTGATTTAGCTTTGGGTTATTCCCTAACTACAGGATAGGGTAAGGTGGAGAAAGTGGATTGGGGGAAATTGTACTTGGATGAAGATTTGTTTGGCTATAGTTTGAAAATTGCAGGCTCCAAGGGAAGAGATTTGGTCAGTCTGGATCAGGATTTCAGGCAGATCTTGGTTGTACTCATGCAACCCCTGAACTTCTTTCCCATGGCTAGAGCATAACTATGGTGATGTCCCATGGAGAAGGTTTTTTGTATGATAAACAAAGAGACAAGAAATGAAATAAAAAAGTGCCCTCATTCATTCTGATTTCCACCTGCTATAGTTACTTCATGAAGGAGAGCTTCTATTATAATGAGGAGAATTTGCAATCAAAGATTTGAGAATAGTTCTGATCATGATGAAAAGTATCTGACGTGAACAGAGATTTTGTTTAAAAAATTTGAAAAATAAATTAAAAATTATAATACTGCAATTTTTGCTTTATAACATATATAGAGGTAAAATGTATGACAAGGCACAAAGAATAAGGAGGAAATGGAAGGACAATGTTGTAAGAATATCAAGTATGTAAAGTGGCACACCGTTATTTTAAGGTAGAATGTATTATTAAAGATGAATATTTTAATATCACAACAACTATTAAAAAAGTTGTAACTAAAATTCCAATGGAGAAAATAAAATGGAATAATATTTAAGCAAAAGTAAATAAGTAAAAAAGGGAAAACATTTGGGAGAAATTGTAAGACAGTATAGTTAAATATAACCATAGTCTTAATTGAATTGAATGTGCAAAATCTAAACACTCTAATTAAAAGACAAAGATGGTCAGAATGCGTGTGTGCACGCACACACACATGGTCAACTATGTGTTGTCTACCTGTCTACTTTAAATATGAAGACAAAGATAGGTAAAAAGTAAAGAATGTGAAAATAACGCTAACCATGAGAATGTTGGTGGCTATATTAATGCCAGAAATATAGAACTTCAGAATTGGGACATGGATGAAGAAGACAGTTCATTATGATAAAAAGAACATATCCAGAACATATAATAATTCTAAATTTGTATATACCTAATAAAAAAATCTTCAAAGCTCACATAAGTGATAAAAATGAAAGCAGAAGTAAGAAAATTGACAGCTATATTTTAATGTTCTAGCATTATTCTCTCAATAAATAATAGAAAAATTAAACAAAATTGGTAAGGATATGAAAGTTTTTTGTTTTTTTGTTTTTGGTACTGAGGATTGAAGTAAAAAGTGCTTTACCACTGAGACACATCCCTCCCCTCCCCATCTTTAAAAAAATTTTTGGAGACAGGGTTTCACTAAGGTGCCTAGAGCCTAGCTAAGTTGCTAAGGTTGGCCTTGAATTTGCAATCCTCCTATATCAGCCTCCCAAGTAGCTGCGATTATAGGTGTGCACCCCACACCTGGTAGGATATGGAAGATTTGAACACTTTCAACCTACCAATGTGTTCTAATTGATATCTATAGATTATTCAACCCAATAGCAGAAGAATACACTTTATTTTCAAGTTACATGGAACATTCCACTTCATAGGCCATATACTGAATCATAGAAAAGTCAGTAAGTCTAAAATCCCAGCAACTCGGGAGGAGAGGCAGGAAGATCTCAAGTTTGAGGTCAGTCTGGGCAAATTAGAGAGAACTTTAGCAATTTTGCAAAACACTATCTCAAGATAAAAAAAAAATTAAAAAGGATGGGAATATATCTGAGTGGTAAAGAGCCCCTGGGTTCAATCTCCAGTACAAAAAAAAAAAAAAAAAAAAAGTCAATAAACAAGAAATGTTGAAATTCTAGAAAATATTCTCTTAACACAATAAAATTAAATTAGAGACCAATAACAGAAAAATATCTGGAAAATCCCAAAGACTTGGAAATTTAAAAAGCATACATTCAAACAGCATCTGTGCTAAAGAAGAGTCAGGAAAAAAATTAGAAAATATTTTAAACTGAATGGATATGAAAATACACTGTGTGATATAGTAATTAGTGGATAATTTATAGTTTTATGCAATTAAAAAAGAGGATAATACTAAACATCAACCATTTAGGTTCCATTGTTAAGAAGTTAGAAGAGGAAATCAAACTCATGTAATTGACTGGTTTCTGTTACTGTAACAAAATACCTGAGACTGGATACTTTATTTTTTTAATTGCTCTTATTTTTTAAATACATGATAGTGGAATGCATCACAATTCTTATTATACATATAGAACACAATTTTTCATATCTCTGTTTGTATATAAAGTATGTTCACACCAACTTATATACTTATATAAAGTATGTTCACACATGTCTTCATACATGTACTTTGGATAATGATGTCCATCACATTCCTCCATC